AATTTCTGACGATTTTTAAGCGCAAACGAGAAAAAACGTTAACGCTAACGCTAACGTGAAAGCAGATGACTTCTGGCGATTGGCGTTGAGTTTTTACTCTCAACTCTGGGCGCGACAGAGGCGGTGAGGCGCGATGGGGCACAGGGACAGCTAGGCGTGGCATTGAACGCGGCTTTGAACGCGGCATTGAGCGCGGCGAGCGTGGCGTGGCGATCGTGGCGTGTAGCGGCGAGCGTGGCGTGGTGAGCATGGCGCGGCGAGCACGGCGCGGCGAGCACGGCGCGGCGAGCACTGCGCGCCGAGCGAGGCTCGGTGAGCATGGCGCGGCGAGCATGGCGCGGTGAGCATGGCGCGGTGAGCATGGCGCGGCGAGCATGGCGCGGTGAGCATGGCGCGGTGAGCATGGCGCGGTGAGCATGGCGTGGCGCGGCAAGCGGGGCGCAGCGAGCATGGCGTGGCGCGGCGAGCATTGCGTGGCGCGGCGAGCATTGCGTGGCGCGGCGAGCGGGGCGTGGCGCGGCGAGCGGGGCGCGACGACATTGGACGCATCATTATTGAACGCATCACTATTGAACGCGGCAGTGTTGGCGTGGCGCGGTATGGCATGGCAAGCACCACACGCACGCACGCACGCACGCACGCACACACACGCACGCACGCACACACACACACACACACATACGGCGACGGCTTGGCCCGGTGCGGTGGCCCAGTGCTTTATGCTCCCACGGCGGGTCGTAAAAGGCGGCCGGAGAACGGCGACCAGAGTTGCATAGGGCTGCGTGGCAGCTGCTAGGCCTGAACAGCACTACAGGGGCACGGGCACGGGCAGAGGCAGAGGCGCGCGAGAGCCCCACTGCCTAAATACATTGGACTACTGCTTGCGCCTTTCTGCTTTTTTAACTGGCGAACTTTGAACTTTACGCTCTGGCAGTGCTACGGCGTTTCTGCTTTTGACGCTGACAACTGACAACTTCACGCTTCAACTAACAAACGGACTTTTGCACTTTACTTGAGTACAAGCTGCTGATTACTACGTATCATCTGCTAAACTAACAAACGGACTTTTGCACTTTACTTGAGTACAAGCTGCTGATTACTACGTATCATCTGCTAAAAAAGGGGGAGAATTGGTGTTGCGGGTTGCCTACCCTCTGGTCTGCAGGCGTCGTAAGTTCACCCTCGATTTAAAAAAATTGGGCCGCAGTAA